GAGGCGCTGAGCACATGAAACATAATTCAGAGAAAGAATCTCAAAGCCTTCAATACAAATGGTTTAACATTTATGGAATTCTTGCCATCTCAGGCATCTTGCTGTTTTTCACATATTGTGCAATTTAGTAAGCATAAAAACTATGGAGTAGGAATAATTATCATCCCCATTTCACTAATGAGAAAACGGAGGCACAGAGGATCCTCTAGGCAAGGCCACAGAGTCAGGAAGCAGCTGAGCAGGAGTTCACATTCAGGTTTATGCCACTCAGAAGCCTTTCTTACTAGTCGCATTAGTATATTTAAGAGGGTCTGTTTCGGTAAATACTAAGGATTCACTCATGGATAAGACAAAACCCATGGTCTTAAGGTCATAAGAACCTTAAGACCATTGGAGAACTTCTGTATAACTTAAGTTTTGAAGGATGCAGGGAAAAAGAACATAAGAAAAGGTGGCATTCAAAACTGAGTGTTTTCAATACATTGTCATTTGTTTTGTATCTCAGGTAATGAAAAATACACTCCTTTGCATTTCTTCCCCTCCAGAAGCACTCCACAACTCCTCTTCACATCTGGCTTTGGCGTCTCTCCCTCCTGCACGCAGTGGAGGAGCCTCTGCCTGCTGTCAGGCCAGGCTGCTTGAGCTTGATCTTTCAGCAGCATTAGACAGTCCTTTCTTAAAATGATCTTTCAATGATCCTTGAGACACTACACTCTCCATATGTCTCTGATCATAACTTCTTTTATCTTTTACTGTCTCATCTTTTATTAAACCATGAAATGACAGAGTCCTTTCAGATTCAGTCTTCAGCCTCTTCTGCCACCGTCATGGCCTGACCTACTTGTCCTCTTCCCTAGTCCAGGCAAGCATTGCTGCTCACTGAAAAATTCCAGTACGTTCTCACCACTTTCACTCCATTCTCTACTCTGCAGCCTACACCACATTGAAAATGAACACAACTGTATGACATATACTTCTCTACCTAAAATCACTGAATAACTTCCATTGCTATTAGGGCAAACATTGAAATCCTTAGTAAAGATTTGCGTGAATGATCGCTAGTCAAGCTCAGCATTGAAAATCCGTCCAGTCTCATCATTTCGTCTCTGCGCTCCCACTATCAGACCCCTTTCACGTTTTCAGTTTCTCTTCCCTGCGCCTCAGGGGCTTTTCATGAGCGTAACCCTTTGCTTTATTTCTTCTCCTCTCTTTTCGTCTTATTAAGCTGTCATGTCCTTATGTTGGCTTATTGTGAATTCATGTACTAGATTAGATACGCCGATGAAGTATCCCCTGCACTTATCTTCAGATTAGACTTTCAATGAGAACTCATTAGTACTAAGGTTTTCTTGACTAGAAAGTAAAATACAAAAGAACAATTATTGTGCCTATTATATTCACTTCTTTCCTGTGTGCCTAGTACTGTGCTTCCTATTGCAGGCAATTTTTTAAATACACAGAGTGGACACGGAGTGAATGGATGAAATATTCCCAAAGGGAATTGGGAAGCAGCTGAAGAAAAACTTGCAGCTTTGGTAGAGTCACAGATGTCCTCCGTTTCCCATTTCAATTTTTATCTGCTTTACCTTGCTGAATAATAATTAGAAATAGTCATGCCAGCATGTTCTAAAGTGCCTGGGGTGGTGATTGCCCAAATTCCTATTCCCTAGTGGGCATGATTATAACAGTGTAGCGTAAGGAACTAGCAGCAAGAAGGAAGCGGTGCACAGCAAATTCATAGCCAAAGAGGAGAGGTTGGAACTGGGAAATCAGAAGGAGAGAAAGGGCTCCTCCTCCGGTGCTCTCACAGGGAGCCATATTTCCTCGATTCTCAAAGGACCCAGAGTGTTTCTGAAAGAGATGCAGCTTCTTCCAAATCCCCGGCATTAGGACTGACAGTGCCATCTCCACATAGTAGAGAGCTTACATTGAGAAAATGGCCAGGCAGCTTCCTTTAATGGCAGGAATTTATAATGAGCCTGGGCTACGGGAGTGTCAACTAATTTCAATCACGAGGACACATTAATAGTCTATAATAACACCAAACAGACAAATCTTCCATTAGACCAGACACTTACCATTCGTCTTAAAAATACGCTCTCGGATAGGGGTCACAGGGCGGTTCACAATGCTTTGGGCCTTTTCTGCAAGCACTTCCTTGATTAAGGGCAATCCAGTTACAAAAACACCATGCAAACCTCCAAAATCCAGACAGAAAATGTTCCCATAGTTCTTCACAAACTGAAAAAGAGTTAGGCACAGTTGAATATACACATGTCTATGTATGCAGGAAGAACAGGTGTGAGTGAGTAGGTGCAAGGGCTTGCTGTGACAGCAGGATTTGTGTGTGTGTGTGTTTGCGGGGAGGGAGCGCGGTTCAGCCACGTGTCTCCAGCAGAACAGAAAGGCTAATTGTGCTGTGTGCCACCGACTCTCCATGGCTCAGTTTCACACTCTGAAAAATGTGAACTTCAAACACTGATCATTAGAACCACTTGTGTCAAAAATTCCGACTTGTGGTCTGATAGCAGTTTCTCTCTGTCATCTTTTCTCCTCCTCCTCTCCACTAGGCTCAAAACGCACTCCCTACAGGAGCTGGAATGTCTTTCTGGAACATTTAGTAATACAGCCAAAAAGTATGAATTGAGTGACTAGCCACTGCATGTTCCCAGAACAAGGCCCCATGGATATAATTGTGAATACATAAATAACTGTCCTAGATTCTGGGGAAAGGAGTCAGAACTGAGCTCTCAGACTCTGAGAATTGGCTGAGTTAGTGTTGCTGTAAGCCAGTGTAACAAAACAAAAATATTCGTAGTAAATCAGAATATCTATTAAATAGAAGACACAGTCTTTGACTTTTACTAGACAATGGAAAGTTAAAGGCTGACTTTTTTTTTGTGAAACATTTTATTAGGGGCTCATACAACTGTTATCGCAATCCATACACACATCAATTGTGTAAAGCGCATTTGTACATCATTCTCAAAACATTTTCTCTCCACTTAAACCCCCGGCATTAGGTCCTCATTTTCCCCCTCCCTCCCCGCTCCCCCCTCCCTCATGAGCCCTTGATAGCTTATAAATTGTTATTTTGTCATGTCTTGCCCTGTCCGACGTCTCCCTTCACCCACTTTTCGGTTGTCTGTCCCCCAGGGAGAAGGTCACATATAGTTCCTTGTAATCGGTTCCCTCTTTCCTACCCACTCTCCCTTTATCCTCCCTGTATCGCCACTTACACCACTGGTCCTGCAGGGCTCATCCGCCCTGGATTCCCTGGATTTTTAGTTCCTATCTGTACCAGTGTACATCCTCTGGTCTAGCCAGACTTGCAAGGCCGAATTCGAGTCATGGTAGTGCGAGCGGGGAGGAAACATTTAGGAACTACAGGAAAGTTGTCTTTCTCATCGTTGTTACATCGCACCCTGACTGGCTCATCTCCTCCCCGAGACCCCTCTGCAAGGGGATCTCCAGTGGCCTACTAATGGGCTTTGGATCTCCACTCCACACTCCCCCCATCATTCACTATGGTAAGATTTTTTGTTCTGATGATGCCTTATACCTGATCCCTTCGACACCTCGTGATTGCATAGGCTGGTGTGCTTCTTCCATGATAGTGGGACAGGAGAAGAATCAAGGGAAATAGAGGAAAGAGCTGGGAGGCAAAGGGCATTTATAGAGGTCTAGATAAAGACATGTACATATGCAAATATATTTATATGAGGATGGGGAAATAGATCTATGAGCCTACATTTATAGGTTTAGTATTAAGGTAGCAGAAGGACATTGGGCCTCCACTCAAGTACTCCCTCAATGCAAGAATACTTTCTTCTAGTAAACTGGCATTCTATGATGCTCACCTTCCCGATACAACTGCTGAAGACAAAACAGGTGAATAAGCAAATGTGGTGAAGAAAGCTGATGGTGCCCAGCTATCAAAAGATATAGCGTCTGGGGTCTTAAAAGCTTGAAGGTAATCAAGCGGTCATCTAGCTCAAAAGCAACAAAGCCCACATGGAACAACATATCAGCCTGTGTGATCACGAGGTGTCGAACGGATCACTGAAGGCAAATGGGTGCATAAGCAAATGTGGTAAAGAAAGCTGATGGTGCCCGGCTATCAAAAAGTATATCATCTGGGGTCTTAAAGGCTTGAAGGTAATCAAGCGGCCATCAAGCTCAGAAGCAACAAAGGCTGACTTATGAAGATCAAAGACCAATATTGATTACATCTCAATATAAAGAAACCCAGAGTCCTCACAATTGTACTGATATGCTTCATGATAAATACAGAAAAGTTTGAAGGTGTCAAGGTTTTCATTTTAATCCACAATAACTTCCATGGACATAGAAGCTAGAAAATCAAGTGATACACAAGATCCAATATGGCCATATGGCTACAAGTTGTATATTCCCCTTCAAAGACAACTTTAGAAAGTAGAAAATACTCAAGAACCTGAGTTTTAAACCTCCCCAGAAAAACTGAAACCTCTACCACTGACAACCTGGTATTTCTGAGGGAGGAACTGTGCCCCTACTCCACCTCACCCCACTGTACCCCAAACCCTAACCAGACTACAGACTCTGGCAGCCTAACCAGGGTGTTCACGTAACCATGGCTGCTGCTAGCACTCTGAGCCTCAGATGGAGAAAAGGCGAGTGGACACCTTGACGGACACATTTCCTCCAACATCCTTTGGAGGGGTCCAGTGTAACCTGGGGAGGGATGAAAATGATTAAACTTGGATGAAAAAACTCACAGGTTCCAGCACCGTAGGGTTGAAAGCGCCAAAGCCCACCTGCTACATCCAGGGCAGATATGAGCGATTCAAATCAGCAGGAGACTAATTCTCAACACCCTGCTGGCATACAAAGAGGACACCCCAATCCTAGGGGAGTGCAAAATTAGGTGATATTGTATAAGGGGGAATTGGCATAGGAGAGTTTTACCTTCATCTCTCTGCAGACCAGGGTTCAAAGATGCATAACCTGTCTGGCTATTGGCTACCGTCCAGAAGGGAGTTATCTAAAGAGACTGTGCCCTGCTCAGATATATAGTCAGTAAATATAGCTTGGCTAGGATAGTCTCTCCCCATGTGTCTCAATTATATTGATCATTAGCCTGCACTCCCTGAAAACATTGGGGTTGACCTTGAGCTCAGGATCTTCTCAGGGCAGTACTCAACTGTTCCTGTGATCACTTCTGCCCAGGATAGGGTATTGCTCAATGACTGCGCCCGCCTTGACTTCAGGCTCTATAACAGGGCTGTGGGCCATTCTGGCCACTCTAAAACAATGATAGAGTAGCACCACATCTTGGATTCATAGCCAATCTCTGTGTGCTTGCAAAAACAAGAGAAAATAGCTCTTTAAAAAATAATAATTTTATCGGGGGCTCATACAACTCTTATCACAATCCATCCATCCATCCATCCATCCATCCATCCATCCATCCATCGTGTCAAACACATTTCTACATTTGTTGCCATCATCATTTTCAAAACATTGTCTTTCTACTGGAGCCCTTGGTATCAACTCCTCGTTTCCCCCCTCCCCCCCACCCTTCCTCCCTCATGAACCTCTGATAATCCATAAAAAATGTTTCATGTCTTACACTGACTGATGTCTCCCTTTACCCAAT